GGCCGAGGTGGACGAGCGCTTCCCCGCCTGCATCCGGGACGCCGTGTCGCAGGTGCTGAAGGGCTAGGACTGGAGCCTGGTGCCCATGCCCGTGCGCGGCAGCGGGGCGCTCAAGGCCAAGCCGCACGTCAAGCGGCCCATGAACGCCTTCATGGTGTGGGCGCAGGCCGCCCGCAGGAAGCTGGCCGACCAGTACCCGCATCTGCACAACGCCGAGCTCAGCAAGACCCTGGGCAAGCTCTGGCTGGGAGTGGGGCGGGGAGCGGGGACTGGAGCCTGGTGCCCATGCCCGTGCGCGGCAGCGGGGCGCTCAAGGCCAAGCCGCACGTCAAGCGGCCCATGAACGCCTTCATGGTGTGGGCGCAGGCCGCCCGCAGGAAGCTGGCCGACCAGTACCCGCATCTGCACAACGCCGAGCTCAGCAAGACCCTGGGCAAGCTCTGGCTGGGAGTGGGGCGGGGAGCGGGGCAGACACAGCCTGGCGTGGCTCACACGCACACGTGTGCCAGGCACAGAGGCACCGCACACCGTGTGTCGGCTCACATGTAGCATGCCGGCATGGCTTGCGCACACACGTGTCTCCGGCATATAGGCACTGGCAACCATTTACACACTAACACAAGGTACCTATCCATGGCTGATGCATGTGCTCACCCCTACCCACTCCCACCAGACACATAGGCTCTGTACACTGTTTACACACACATACAACATATCTGCACATGGCCTAGCATAGCTTGCACGTATGCGCACACACCAGTCACATAGGAACCGCACATATGCGCACACACCAGTCACATAGAAACCGCACATGATTTACACACGCAACATATCTACATAAGCCTCAGGTTTGCACACGCTTTAAGTGCATAGACACTGCACACAGTTTACCCACACAACATATCTGCATACAGTCCAGGCATGGCTTGCACACACACACCATGCCCTGTAGAGAGCATGCATCGTGCATATACGCACCACACACAACATGCATCCCAGGCATAGCTGGCACCTACTCATCATGAACTACACACAGACACACATGCACCAGACACACAGTAGGCATCACACTGCATATGCATATGTGTGGCAATCTACATGCATAATACACATATGCAGCACAGGCCCCATGTCCAGACACACACACAGTGTACACACCCTCCACAACGCTTTGTATAGGGGCGGTTTTCCGTAGCACCACATTGCAAGGAGTGGTGGAGATCAGACAGGAGACGCTCCCGTTTTAGAATCTAGCAAATGAAAGTGGGATCATTTTACTGTAGAAAAGGTCCAGAGGTCCCAATAGTTCCTCTCTACTCAGGGCACAGCTTTCCCCCATGGCTGCTTACTGGGAAGGCCAAACTAGTTTTGAAAAGTCATAGAGAAGGGCTCCTACCCCTGCCTTTCTTTGGAGACGCTTGCACAGTATAACCACTGAAGAAAGCCGGAGAATGGAGCTGGCTGCTCCTGCCATGCTCAGAGGGTCTGGTTTACAAGTTCTGCACTTTAGAGTAAGAGTTTATAATCCCCGTTTTGTGTAGCAGGGGAGAATTGTCCTTATTAACACACCCACAAGAGAGGGACAGTCCAAGAACGCAGGGGAACAAAGTTACCTATAGCTACCCCTGCTCCTGGACAATTGGCTATCTAACTTTCTTCAGTTACAGCAGGGGGAAATATCCGTGCAAAAAGCACCAGCCTTTCTGATATTTGTAGGGTTGTAGACAAGTCTACAAAGTTAGATTCTGGTGGAATTTTTCAGGCTGGACCTATCTGAGGGACACAGAGCTCTCAAGCCACGGAGCCTCGAAAAAAAAGCAACCGGTTGCTGTTCTGCGTTAAGTTTCTCCCCCTGACCAAAACATTTTTGTGAAACTTCAAGGCAGGGAAAAAGGAACTGCCTGTGATCGGGGTGAACACGTAGCAAAGAACAAATGATAACGGTCACTCAGGTTACGGGCCCTCGGACCAAATACTAATAGAAGGCCTAATCCCTCAAGGCATCAGTGAGGTTTTTTTTTTTTTTTTTTTTTTTTTGCTTGAAGTCGTGAGCCCGATCCTACTCTGCTGAAAGGAACGGTGGAATTCCCAGCAGTCACTGGACTGCCGTGAATTCTTCCACGAGGCAGCCATATGAAGGGCCGGGTTCATTCATTAGCAAGTCCTGTTATAGAGAGACGCCGAGTCTACAGGCTGGAAGTTTGAGAGCGTTACTGCAACGTAACCATTACAGACATGCCCTTTCAGTAGGAACAGTCTGCCCCAGCTGTGGCCATTCCTGCCGATTAAGGGTGCAGGATTCTTCTTGGCGCTCAGCAGCATAATTAAATACTTGGGAAACTTCTGTCTGTTTTGCTCCTTTTCCGCCAACTTTTTATGATGGGTGGATTCTCTGTATTTCTACTACAAGGAAACAGTGAGGGGGTTTTTTTAGCTGTAACTTTAGTGGCTTTTCTTTGTAATATTTGTTGTGCACATTTGCGTATTTAACGAGCTTTAAAATGAACTATGTAATGCAATTTATACCTTTTATATCATTTTTTTAATGGACTGCTCTTTTCATGAGTTTTTTTTTTTTTTTGTTCTTTCAACACAAATTTATTTATATACTCAACATTTATGTTTAAATTTGTCTAGTACTAATAGTTTCCTGGAAAGCATCTAGTTTAAAATTTGTTTATGCTGCTTTTGGCAAGTTGGACTACAGCTCTTTTTCCTTTGTGCCCATCAGATTGTTAAAAAATTAATTATTTAAGATGACACACAAAGTGAAACATTCCATGTATTTGTTCTGATGAGCAGGATTTCTACATTAAAAAAAGCTATGGTTTAGATATCAGTGGAAAGTTTTCAAAAAAGAGCCCAGAAGAAAAAAAAAAAATCTTTAAATGAAATATTTGATTTGCTTTTAAATTGATTGGTTCTTCGCAAGTCTGTGGCTTGTGATCAGAACTGGAGATGATCAAAAGTGATTGTCATATGACTTACATATGAAATATAGCAGTAATATTTAGGAGCAGGATGCTTGCATTTAAAATAAAAACCAACGACTATATTTTGCCCAGTGATTGATATCCAGAGTGGATGCTTTAACAGCTATTTAGCTGATATTTGCAATACATGCAACGAGTAAAGCAAAGGGTTCTTGTTACAGTTGAAAATATATGTTGTGATTTAAAGTACTGGTTTGCTGAATCAGTGCCTGTATGTTAGAGAGAGAAATGTCTGAAAACACGATGGACATTTGCATTTTGCTTTTTAAGAAACGTATACATTACTGTTTTTTTTCCTTTCTTAAAATATAAAACAGTTTGCTAAGTGAAAACGAGAAACGTCCCTTTGTGGAAGAGGCCGAGAGGCTCAGAGTTCAGCACAAGAAGGATCATCCGGATTATAAATACCAGCCACGGAGGAGGAAAAGTGTAAAAGCTGGCCAGAGTGATTCTGATTCAGGAGCGGAGCTCAGCCATCATGCAGGGAGCCAGATCTACAAAGCAGATACCGGGCTAGGAGGTGTGGGGGATTCTCACCATCACAGTGATCACACAGGTAGGAAGTCTGGATTTGTACTGTGGTGTCTTGAAACTTGCAAAGATTTATGATCTTGGCAGATGAACAGTCAGTGTTTGTCTAATAAACAAAAGGGAAAATTCCTGCTTTCACGTCTAGCCTGCGACTGCTTCCACGCACACTTAACTACCCCAAACAAAATATAGGACTATGTAGCACTTTAGAGACTAACAAGATGGTTTATTAGATGATGAGCTTTTGTGGGCCAGACCACTGGGTCTGGCCCACGAAAGCTCATCATCTAATAAACCATCTTGTTAGTCTCTAAAGTGCTACATAGTCCTATATTTTGTTTCAGCTACGCCAGACTAACACGGCTATATTTCTATCACTTAACTACCCCAAGTAGCCCTTAAAATCCTACACGTGTTTGAAGGAATGGGGCCCTCGAGTGAAATCCTCTTATGTAGTTCTGTTGGAGATAACAGAAAGTCCCACATACCTTAGTGATGCCTGTGATATAAGAACACCCATTGATGGACTACCCCAAGTAGCCCTTAAAATCCTACACGTGTTTGAAGGAATGGGGCCCTCGAGTGAAATCCTCTTATGTAGTTCTGTTGGAGATAACAGAAAGTCCCACATACCTTAGTGATGCCTGTGATATAAGAACACCCATTGATGGGGCTAAATCTTATTACTTAGAAAATAAACGTGCATTTTCAAACGGTCTCTAATGTATCAAGATGGAGGGGGCAGGAGAGAGCGTTAATTGCGATATGATCAGGGATCGTTATGAATGGGTAATGTTGAAGATGCCTGAAGAACAAGCCCGAGAGATCAAGACGATTGATCTCGTCCCAACTCTTCTGGATTCTGAATTGGCAAACTTTTTCTGTTGACAGATTCCAAAAGTATTGCTAATGTCCTGTAATTTCAGACATGTTTGTTCTCTGAATTATGAACCCTGTCTGCAAGGTTTTCCTCCCCCACTCCCTTTGCTTTAAGTTTGCACTAGTACGGAGGTTTATATACAGAATAACTTGTTTTCATTTGTTGCCCTTTAAATGAAAATCCGAGTCATTTCCATTGCAGTGACCCTCACTTGCACTTTCTGGCCAAGGAATTGGTTTTAGATGTCTTTGCCACTTCAAAGATTTCATGCAGCCCCACAAAAACATTTAGCTTGGGATCAGTGGCTACTGAGTCCTGGTTCACTGGCTCAGTAGCTATGATGACTTCATCTACCCAGCATCCGAGTGTTTTCTTGATTCAGTGTTTTATTGAAAGATCCTGTGTTTGAGCATATGAATAGCTAAACGATGCTACACTGCCTGTTCTCCACCCTCCCAAATGTCCATCCTGTCCTTGAATTTTCAAAATCTGCTTTTGTCCTTAGGGCAAACTCACGGACCACCCACCCCTCCTACCACCCCTAAAACGGACCTCCATCATGGGAGCAAACAGGAGCTGAAACACGAGGGGCGCCGCCTAGTGGAGAGTGGCCGTCAGAACATAGACTTCAGCAACGTGGACATCTCCGAACTCAGCAGCGAGGTCATTAACATGGAGACCTTTGACGTGCGGGAGCTCGACCAGTATTTGCCACTGAACGGCCACTCCGCCATGCCGGCTGACCATGGGCAGAACGCTTCCACGGGCCCGTACGGCCCTTCTTATTCCCATTCAGCCAACGGCAGCAGTGGAGCAGCCCAAGTTTGGACTCACAAAAGCCCATCCTCGGTGTCCCCGACTTTAAACGAAACCGGCCAGCAGAGACCCCATATCAAAACGGAGCAGCTCAGCCCCAGTCATTACAGCGATCAGTCCCATGGGTCTCCATCTCACTCCGACTATGGTTCCTACAGTGCACAGGCGTGTGCCACTACGGCATCCACCCCAACAGCTGCGGCTTCTTTCTCCAGCTCGCAGTGCGACTACACAGACCTCCAGAGTTCGAATTACTACAACCCTTACTCCGGCTACCCCTCCAGCATTTACCAGTATCCGTATTTCCATTCCTCCCGGCGCCCCTACGCCACACCCATCCTGAACGGCTTATCCATCCCTCCTGCTCACAGCCCCACGGCTAACTGGGACCAGCCCGTCTACACAACCCTGACGAGGCCTTAGAGGCTGGAAGGAATCTTCCCAAAACTATATGCACTAATGAAGGAATGAAGAAAAACAAAGTGGAGTGCCGTGGCAAATTCTTAAGTGCCTGCTGAGCCACTGGGAACTCTATTCATTGGGACTGGGTGTCTGTTGCTTCGAAATCGCCAAACTTTAAAAGACAGAGTTCTATTTTTCTTTAATGAAAACAAACAAAAAAACTAACGGATGGGAAATTCCTTTTTGAGTAAATGAAGGACAAAACTGCGTGACTCCTCTGTGAGGACTGAAGCGAACTTCTTAGTTTTGAACGTCTGAGTGCAAAACCAGAAAGATGTACGAGACTTTAAGGGTCTATTGCAATGTGAGATACGGACCAGCCTTGGAGGCAAGAACTCACTAGGACCAATTAATATATACAAAGCATTTCCGCTATTCCATATAACGATCTTATGGGAACATAGCCGAGTCGGCTAGGACCAACCAGTTAAATGTCTGAGGTGTGTGTTTTAGTCAAGAGTTCTTTCTAAGCAAGGTTTGGCTGTAGTTAACATTCATTTTTTTGTTTTTTGGAAGCTTAAAAGTGTTTGGTTTTTTTTTTTTTATTATTGGAAATCTGTTTAATATGTATTTATGTTCTGTATTATTTTGTCTTTTTTAATTAATGAAGTAATTTTTGTGCAAAAAGTAGAATTTTTAAAAAATTTAAAGATGGGTCAGAGGGGGATATAAAATTAGTGGAGATGATACAATAAAATGGTAATATGAGTATTTTTTTTTTTTTTTATTATTGGAAATCTGTTTAATATGTATTTATGTTCTGTATTATTTTGTCTTTTTTAATTAATGAAGTAATTTTTGTGCAAAAAGTAGAATTTTTAAAAAATTTAAAGATGGGTCAGAGGGGGATATAAAATTAGTGGAGATGATACAATAAAATGGTAATATGAGTATTTTTTTTTTTTTTTATTATTGGAAATCTGTTTAATATGTATTTATGTTCTGTATTATTTTGTCTTTTTTAATTAATGAAGTAATTTTTGTGCAAAAAGTAGAATTTTTAAAAAATTTAAAGATGGGTCAGAGGGGGATATAAAATTAGTGGAGATGATACAATAAAATGGTAATATGAGTATTTTTTTTTTTTTTTATTATTGGAAATCTGTTTAATATGTATTTATGTTCTGTATTATTTTGTCTTTTTTAATTAATGAAGTAATTTTTGTGCAAAAAGTAGAATTTTTAAAAAATTTAAAGATGGGTCAGAGGGGGATATAAAATTAGTGGAGATGATACAATAAAATGGTAATATGAGTATTTTTTTTTTTTTTTTTATTATTGGAAATCTGTTTAATATGTATTTATGTTCTGTATTATTTTGTCTTTTTTAATTAATGAAGTAATTTTTGTGCAAAAAGTAGAATTTTAAAAAAATTTAAAGATGGGTCAGAGGGGGATATAAAATTAGTGGAGATGATACAATAAAATGGTAATATGAGTATTTTTTTTTTTTTTTTTTAACCACTGCAGAACATGTTTGAGAGAGGGGCTGAAATACTGTCACACATAGCCAGTCATGAACGTAAAATTGACACACATATCTAAAACCATAAAAGGAAGGGAGGGACGCAAAAGTTATTAATTAAATTCGATGGCTAAATTATGGGAAAAGGAGCAGGGCAGTTTGGATTCTCTTTGCCAGCTGCTTTTAAGATATTAAATTGGATTGAAGGCGTCACTGAATTTCTGAACACTTTCGGAACCAAGACGAGTTTACAGAAAGGTGTAATTTAATGAGGTATTACGGACTGAGTTCCACTTTAAGTTTGGCTTCTAGGGACCAGATGTTATCCATCAAGCTGTGAAACTAAAACCTTCTCCACTAAATTTTTTTAGGTACTTAGTTTTAGACTAATATTTCATTGATATATTTCTACTTCTTCCATTGTATGCTGAGCATATAATAACCATCTATTTTATGGTAACTTGTGCCTTTTAAAAACTTTGTAAATCTTTAAACACATTTCAGAGATTATCTTCTTTTTACCTTTTCTATGTTTCCTACTCTTTTTCTAAAAGTATTTTTTGCATATTTCCTTTTGGGTTTGTGGGACGGGGGAAGTTACAGAAAACTCATTTTTATGCAATCTATTTTTCTGTATAAAGTTTGGAAGATTTTCAGCTGTTACTTATCTGTTCTGTTCACTAGCTTCTGACTAAGCAATGCTAACTTTTGTACAGATCAATTTGATAAAATTAAACAAATGGCTTTTTATCAACCATGTGTTTTTTGTTTTCATTATATTAAAAAAAAATCTCTGCACTTAAAAGAAACTTGGAAAACAAAACTAGAAAAAGAAACGTTTTACTTGCGATTCACGTGAAATAGGAGACCAGGGATTTTGTTGTTGTTGCTTTCACGAATATCTCCCATCTCCTACTGCTGTTTCACCAGCATTTAGAAAGGATGGGACTGAGTCAGGGTTACACAAAGATTTCCATTCTCATACAAACTCATCTCAAGGAGTTCCGTGGAAATACTCACAGGAGTAAAGATTTTCAGGATTGAATGCCCCGGTTTTAAATCAAGTTTATTTCATTCTCTACAGTGTATTGGAATTTTAAAAAGCAACAGATTCTGTTGTCTGGCGGGCGAGCTCTTAATTATAATGGCAACAAAATTATATGTTGCTTGCAGTGGTTTTTTATTTAAAAAAATACAGTCATCAACATAGTTACATTTTGTGACTTGGTTTCAGGCCAGCGCTGGAAAATCTTTTAACCTGGGAATATAAATGTGATGACAATTAATGAACGTAGAGAATATTAATAAAGTCTGTGAAGAACAAAATCCCAAAGTGAATTTGCTGGTTGCAGGATGTGCCAAGAGCGATCTTGCCAAAGCGTCTGTAACAGGACACCATTTTCTCTGTGCTCATTTACAAAACTGCTGGCAAAATTACTTTATTACACTGGAAGCCAAAGTTCCTCGGCAGCTTTCGGAAGAGAAATTCCCCCTCTCTCCCCTCCTGATTACAACACGAGCTTCGAGCAGTAGTCTAGCTCGTTAGCCCTGAGCAAAACGGAGATTGTTCAACTCCACAGAAAAGCGATGTAGTCCCTTCGTAGAGTTTCCTTTACCAAAAAAAAAAAAGTAGTATCACGTGTAATAGCACAGCCTCATATGTGCTATCTCAAACATCTCTCCGTGTCACCAATGGGAAAACCCCCACCTTTAAATAACGAAGTCTAAAAAATGCCTGTGTCTGGCCAGAGCCTTCTCTTCTGTAAATCACAGCACCGCTGAAGTTAATAGATTTGATCTGGTGGCCGATCTGTCCCACAACACGTAATTTACAATGGGAGCTTGGAATGCCACTGGAACTCACCATGCAACTGAAAACGTGGTGGTGGCTCAGAATGGGAGCAGTAAGAACATTTGGTCCTAAGGACCCAATCCTGAAAAATGCTGAGCATCCTAAAATCTCAGACTTTTAGGACAGCTAATGAGCTTCTGCTCTGTGCAAGACTGGGCCCAGTCAAACTTGCAGGGCATGTTTTTGGGCGGTAGAGGTAAAAGTGATGACGAACCTACCCCGGTCCTACACAACTTAACTCCTATGTGTCCTCTATTATGCTTCTCATCAGTAGACCGCACAGCACTTTACAAATATCAGAGGGGTAGCTGTGTTAGTCTGAATCTGCATAAACAAGGAGAAGTCCTGTGGCACCTTATAGACCAACAGATTTATTGGAGCATCTGACGAAGTGGGTCTTTGCCCACGAAAGTTTATGCTCCAATAAATCTGTTCGGGTACGTCTATACTAGCTCCCCAGTTCGATCTAGGGAGGCTAATGAGGGCGACCGAAATTGCAAATGAAGCGCGAGATTTAAATATCCTGCGCTTCATTAGCATGTTCCCGGGGATTCCGAATTAAAGCCCTAACTCGAATTAGCTGTTATTCCTCCTGCAATGAGGTTTACCAGCTAAGTCGATTTAGGGCTTTAATTCAGAATCCTGTTTCACTGTCGCGTGTAGATGCGGGCAGTTACTTTGGGCTAGTCAAGTTCTAAAAATGGTGACCGGTCAGGAACATGCTAATGAAGCACGGGATATTTAAATCCCGTGCTTCATTTGCAATTTCGGTCGCCCTCATTAGCCTCCCTAGATCGAACTAGGGGGCTAGTGTAGATGTACCCTATGTCTATAAGGTGCCACTGGACTTCTCGGTGTTTAAGCACTTTAGAAAGGAGGTGGATATCATTACCCCGTGTTACAAACTGGGGACACTGTGGCACAGAAAGGGTGAAGTGATTTGCCCAAGGTCGTCCAGTTGGCCAGTGGCAGGCTCGGAATAGAAACTAAGCCTCCTGAGTCCCAGTTGAGTGCTCCCACTGTCAATGCTACCTAATATAGGACTAGATGCTCTCATTTAAACTTCTCTGTCTCCACTTTCTCCCTTCCTGTGGGTATATCTTACTACCTGAACCACAGGGGTGACTTTCTGGCATTGAAATACATCTCTGCAAACTCTGCAGTTCAGCTTGAATCAAATCCCCGTGACCGTCAGAAATTCTGCCTGTCCAAAAAGGGATAGAGAATGTCTTATTGCCTGTGTATAAACCCATGGAGTGCCCATATCTTGAGTACTGCGTGCAGAGGTGGTCGCCTCATCTCAAAAAAGATACCTTGGCATTGGAAAAAGTTCAGAAAAGGGCCACAGAAATGATTAGAGGTTTGGAACAGCGGCCATAGGAGGAGACAGTAATACAATTTGTACTTTTCAACTTTGAAAAGAGACTAAGAGGGGGATATGATAGAGGCCTATAAAATCATGACTGGTGTGAAGAAAGTAAATAAGGAAAAGCTATTTACTTGCTCCCATAACACAAGAATTAGGGGTCACCAAATGAAATTAGTAGGTAGTAGATTTAAAAGAAAGGGTACGGCTAGACTATAAGTTTTTGTCGGAAAAAGGTACGCAAAATGCAGAGTGCATTTTGCGTATCTTTTTCTGATGCTTTTGTCGGAAGAAGCTTTTCTGATATTTGGCCCACCTAGACTGGGCCAAACGTCAGAAAAAAACCCTCTTTCGGAAGCCCCCTTCTTCCTCATAGAACGAGGAATACAGGGGCTTCCAAAAGAGTGTGTTTGCTCTTCCGCAAAAAAAAAAGGGGAAGAACAAATGCGTTCCAGTATCCCAAAACCCTCCCGCAGTCTAGCCATACACAAACAAAAGGGATGTTTTTCTTCACACAGTGCATGGTCAACCTGTGGAACTCCTTGCCAGAGGATAGTCGAAGACCAGGACTTTAACAGGATTAAAAAAAAAAATTAATGGAAGTTAGGATGGGTAGGAATGGTGTCCCTAGCCTCTGTCAGAAGCTGGGAATGGGTGATGGGATACATCACTTGATTCCCTGTTTGTTCCCTCGGGGGCACCTGATATTGGCCACTGTCAGAAGACAGGATATTGTGCTAGTGGACCTTTGGTCTGATCGTATGGCCATTCTTATGCTGTAATCATAGGTATATGAGCTT